CACTCTTTCTGTATTGAATTCTCAGCTTTTCCTTGCACATACCATCAGTGTGACTGGTTCGCCATCTCTAAAAGTGGGCATAGAAATAGTACTTATCTTTTAATGTTGTTATGAAGCTTTTAAAATTTAATATATATGTAAAATAATTGAAAGAGTACAACTCTATATACGTGTCACTGATGAATTTGGCTTCGGAAAGATGTTACCCACACATGCAAACTACTAGGTACTGCTAGTTTTGAATGGTGTTAAATGAGTGAAAAAAATTGCTTTCATTGTGTTTCTCAAAAGCTTGAGGCTAATGTCAATATTGGTGTAATTTAACTGTAAGTGAAATTATGATAGATCCAATGTTAAGTTCAGGTTTGAACTTCATTCATATGTAAGCTCCTGGGTTTCTAGATTACCGGTCCAATGATAAGACATATACTTGCCACACTGGCATTATCTATGTATAATACATGGTTTGGCTTTTGGATCAATATTATTGATGATACGTGAAAAAAATGGATCCCAAATGCATATTTGATTTAAAAATCACTATACATACATACGTACATACATACATAGACGCTCATGCGCACACCTGCACTTATACATGGGCTCAGGAATGAAGTCTTGTGTAAATAAATGACTGGTAAGACACTAATTTTAAAAGGAGTCAAACCTTACAGAATTTTCCTTGCACTGAGAGGAGCAGTCGGTTGAATTGTAGGCCTGTGCAGTAGTCACACATTCACCATTGCTGCACACCTAGAAATGAAGTCACCGAGATGAATTAGAATTACTTGCTCTTAGAATTTGCATCATTTGTTCTATTGTGAAAAACCACATGTAGAATCTCCTGTGGAAGAAGAAATCCTCTATAAATATTCAATGGTTATTTGAAATGTGTACTGCACATTCAAATACTGTTGTATACAAACATTAATTATTATAATGTCTATGTCCTTATTAATTCTTCAAATGTTAATCTATCAAAGATTCCACCATTGTAATTGCAGCAATTTCTTCTATTACTTCTATCAGGTTTTCTTCTGATTTGATAAGGATCTGTGATTGTTTATTTCACAGTTGCTGGTTGGGCATTTTGTCAAAATCCATTAATCTTCTTATTTATACTTATTACTTTTGTTTTGAATTATGCTCGTTTTGGGGGGGTAAGTTTTATGATCAAATTACTGTTGTTTTGTTGCTTGTGGTTATTGCCTGGCTTATCTTAGCTCATTTATTTGTCAACTGTTATTTTTATTTTTACCTGTTTCTTTAGGAAAAAAGGTTACATCTGGAAATGTTTTTCCAACTCTATTGAGGTATAATTAACAATTAAAAATTGTATATATTTAAAGTGTATATCGTGATGACTTTAGGTACTCTTATACATTGTGAGATGACCACAAACAACCTAATTAACCCACCCATCACCTCAAATAGTTACTTTTTTTGTGATAACACCTAAGATCTACTTCTCAGAAAATTTCAAGTACACATTACGGTATTATTAACTATAGTCACCATGCTTTACATTAGATCTCCAGAAGTTATTCATTTTATAACAGAGAGTTTGTATCCTTTAACCAATGTCTCTCTGTTTTCCCTACCCCTCATCCTCAGCAACCATCATTCTCCTTCCTGCTTCTGTGACTTTAATTTTTTTAGATTCCACATATAAGTGAGATCATACAGTATTTGTCTTTCTGTGTCTGGCTTATTTTGCTTAGCATAAGTGAAATATCCAAGTTCATCCATGTTGTTAAAAACGATTTCTGTTTTTTAAGGCTAAATAATATTCATATATATATATATATATATATATATAAAGTCACATATATGTGTATATATATATTTACATATATAATCACATTTTCATTATCCATTCACCTGTCCAAGGACATTTAAATTGTTTCCATTGGCTCTTGTGAATAATGTTGCAGTGAATACGGAAGTGCAGATATCACTTCAATTTAAATTCATTTTCCAGTTGGCTGGAGTACTTGACTATTTTTCTTTTCAGAAAGTAAATGCTGTCTAATTTTACTGTATATTGTCTTAATCATAAGGTTGTGAGGGTGTTGTTCTATTACTTTACACTCTGAATAATAGCTTGGTTTATATATGGTTTTAGGGTCACCATATTTCTGTTTCCCAAAACTGGATTTTGCTGCATTATCTTCCGGCATCTTTTGTTGGGGATAAATATGATGGTAACTTGATAATTTTTCCTATTGGAAAATAATGCTTGCCTTCTTTTGTGCTCATAGAACATTTTCTTTATTGTTGACTTCATGGTATGAAGATAAGTCTAAATGCTCATTTATTTTTATGATTTTTTCCCGGTACTGAGTTTTTACTTTATGCATTCCTAAGCTCGGGGACATTGTTGAGTATTATTTCCTTAATTACATTTTTTTACCTCTATGCTGTTTCCTTTATCTAGAATTCCTATTAACACTGTATCAGGTTTCTTAGCACTGTTTCTCTTGCTTTTATTCATTTTCTTTTATTTTTAAAAATTTCCTTATTTTTCTGTGTTAAGAAGTTTAACTTCCAGTTTCCTTTTTTTTTTTTTTCCTGGAGTTTCTATTCCATGGCTTACTGCATGAATTGCAAATAAACAGGCAATCATGATTCATTGTGCACTTTGAAGGCAGTGCTTCTTGATTTCAAATTATATCATTTTTATAGATTTAATATCCTTCTAAATAGTATAAAATATAAATTTAACTTATTTATAAAGGATTTTCCTCTTTTTAAAAATGCATCTGTTTCATAGGAGACTATCATCTTTGATATCTCAGACTGGTCTCCTTTGTTCACTGTACTGAATTCTCTTATGTCTGTTGTTTATCTTCTTTCCTTATGCTTATAGAATGGGTTTTCTATATACATGATTAAACACTGAGAAACATTGTTTTAAAACCCATGTAGACCTCACTTCAAGTATTTCAGGCTCAACTAAAGGAAAATACTGAGATGTATTTTATTTTGATTTTGCTGTTCTGTATGTTTAATAAAGAGATAACTACAGAGACAGTTTTTGAGCAATTCTTCTCTGGTAGAGAATGAAAGAATTAACTAATTTCCTCTCTCTCTTCTCTTTTCTCCTCTACTCTCATTCTCTCTGCAGTCTACTATCTTTCTCTCTTACCGTTTCTCATCTTTTACTTTTCATCTTTTTTTCTTATCTATGTTGTAAGTTCTATAGTATAACTAAGGAAAAGGGCACCCAGGGGTAATGGGATATATTTGTCCTCTTTTCCCATGCCAAATTAAAATTTACCCAGAAAGAATAACTACTAAGAGAAACTAGAATGTTTTTAGGCATTTAAAGTTCCTCAAGTCTAAAAAATAGTATCTCAGAATAAATATGAAAATGACAAATTCTGTCAGTAGTGCCTTTGTTATATACCTCTACAGACTAGAGTTTGATATGCATTGATTCCCTCAATAGGAATTGGTTCAAGAATTGGTACCATTGTGAGTGGTGCACTTCTGTACTAAGATTTCTCTAGAAGGAATTAGGCAGTCTATGTGGTGGTACATGGTCGTGATGTGTTTGCACAATCACGAAGTGTTCCTTAACAACTGCTCCGCTATCAATTTCTTGGCTTAATTCCTGCCATTCTGTGAAAGGGATGTCATACGTTTGCTTTGTACCTCAGGCTGATTTTCCTTACCTGAAGTGAGTAGAAAATTATTTGGTATTTTCTTCAAACCAATGCCTCATATACTCTATCTTACTGAACATCCTTGAACTTTCTAGTTTGTGGTTGGTACACATACCCAAATTTTCACAGCTATTAACTCCTCGCCATTTTTATGTTTATTTAGTCCTTTTACTGGGAAACTGTATAATTAAATCTATGGACTTGAAATAGAGGTCTCTATGAAATTATTAAATTCTGATTCAGCTTTTACATGCTGAATTTTTACTTTCCAATTCATTTATCTATCTCATTATATGAATGATACTGTAATGCTTGTGGATGGCAGTGTCAAGGGGTGGTGCATATCACAGAAACTGCTCAACTTCAAAATTGCTGATTTTCTCTACAGCGTTATATTTTTTCAAATATTCTTGTGTTTATAAACCTTGATGAGATGGCTACTGTTTTTAGTTTACATTCTCACGTTTTCATCTTGGAGTGATAAAGCCTTTCCAATCAGGCTTCACTCTACCTGTTCAATTTAATTTTTTGCCATTTCACTTGGAGCTCCAGTCACTCTGAAATTGTCAGCTACCTGTCTATGTCATACACTTGTACCTTTGCGTATTATGTAGGTATATTTCTTTTTAAAAAGTCTTTTCTCATCTTCTGTGTGTTGAAAAATGTTGTTCATAAAGTCAGAGCTGAAATGTCGCTCTAATGGCATCAGAAGATGCCACTCTGTGTTCTACAAGTAAAGTCAGTCACTTCCTTTGGACTCGTGCACATTGATCACATCACCATGAAAACAGTTGAGTTGGATTGTAGTGATACACTTAATTTAATCTACGAAATTCTCAAGTACACTCATCTTTATATCAAGTATGTCCTGCACAGACACTGGCACCATAGTATGTGCCCAGTAAATATGTCTGAATGAATAAAATAAATGAAGATTCTATGGCTACTTCATAGTCAAATAAATTTTAAAAAATTCAGTCTATAATTTTATTGAACATCTACTGTAAGACACTAATTAAGCACATTTATATTTTCATAATTCGTATAACAAATATTAAGCAAAATGAATATTTACTGTAGTGTTACTGCTACTCTGCTCAATTAAAAAAATACTGCAGAGTTTTTTTCTGTGTTCCCATATATAAGCCCTCTGGAACCATTTATAGGATCCAATGAGGTTTTAAGTGACTGGACAAGCAGTTTTAATAAAACAAAGGGCGTTCATCTTAGCAATCCATCTCCACATTTTATTCCAGGAGCAACCAGGCCAAAATCCTTAGAATCGTGGTATAAAAAAAAAGTTTTGCATTCAGTGGCATTCTGCTTCAGAGGCTTCTTAAGGTGATAGATCTTTTCTTCTCCAAGGACAGAAGAATGCTGCCCACCTGTGCAGAATGTCTTTCCACATTTGATATCTCTGAAGGAAAAGAAGAGTATTCTCACACTTGGGACCAGAAATGCAATAGAAATTTAGAGACTAGGTTGCAAGTGAAGTGGCCCGATCACGTTTTTCTAAACCAGGCTTGTCAGAGCCCAGGAGAGGCTGGGTAAACTGTTGGACCCTGTTTCCTGACCCTGGAAACTGAGATGAGTAGACAAAGATGTAAAATGATTGTATTTCTTTATGATATCTATGTAATTCTCATGAAGCAATATTAGCTCAAGTTTGCAGGAGAATATTTCTTATTAGTAATTTGAATTAGCATAACTTGAATCAGGATATTAAGATTTCCTTCTTACTCTTTCTTGCGTGGAGCACATCAGTTGATTCTCACAACAAATCTATGAAGTTGCTATTATTATAACCCCTGCTTTACAGATTAGGCAGCAATTGGAAGTGAGAGAAGTTAAGCTGCTGCCCATTTTTAGGATTATATTTAGAAGCAAAGTTGAACTTGATTCTAGGTTTTTATTATTGTTGTTTTCAGTCCAAATCCTGTTTGGGGGCATACAGAAAGCCTTGCCAGATGTCAGAAACAAACCCAGAAGTGGGGGTCAGCACATGCTTTTTAAAAATCAGATCTAACATCCCATTGTCCCGTTCTGTCTTCAACTTCAGCGTCTACCTTTCTTTCTTCTGATGGCTTTCCTTCTTTTTTCCTTTTCTCCCCTTTTCTACTTATTTTCACCCTCCTTCTGTTTGCTTCTTCCTCTCTTTTTTTGTAGCTTCTTTTCCTCCCTTTCTTCCTAAGAATCTTAAATCTTTCCCATCTTTCCTCCTTGTGTTCCATGACTTTCAGTTACAAAATACAGAACATAAATGCCGGTTAATTCCATCAAGGATGTGTGCTCTCTCCCTTCTTGCTTCCCTTTCCTCCTAATCTCCTCAGTAAAAACAGGCTGGCAGCTGTCAGAACAAGAGCTGTTCTGATTTTGCAAAACACTCTGAGAGGGCACGTACTTTTCTTTACAAGGCACTTACTTTTCTTCACAAGGAATTAATACGTGTTTCTTGTTTTTGCAGTATCCAAATTTATTTCCAATTTTATTCATCTTGTAGCAGATATCAGAACTGTCTTTTACCTCTGGGACCCAAAAACGGTATGATAAAAGTAAAACAATGAAAGCATGAATATGACAAATCATAAAATGCCTTACTTTTCTAATGTGATTGAAATTTCAGTGTCATGTAGCAGTGAAGCAGAATGGGACAAATAAATAACTTAAAAACTATCCTATTGCCTCGGGAGGATATTTTAGGAAGGAATATGGATATAAAAAAGAAACAAACATACCTTAACCCACATACTGAGCTAGTCAATTAATATTAGAGGTAAAGTCAATGAATATGAAAGGTATTATTCAGAAAGGTGCCAGGTAATATCTGCCACAAATGGCACTATCTCCAATCTTGTCCCCAGATTCCTAAGGGACAGTAACAGAAATAACAGCTATTAATTATCCTTATCAATCATTCACTGTAATTGTCTCTCACCTTTATCAAACAATTCAGAGCACTGATCATCCCAGGTGGGGCAATTCCCCATGAAGCAGTAGCCTTTTGCATTCTTGCAAGGAAATCCATTTATTTGGAATTGGTCCTTAGGACACCTGGAAGAGTGGCCAGTACACATCTCAGGAAAATCACACTCATCTTTTGCTGGTCTGCATATAGATGCTGCTTTTTTCAACTGTTGAAGAAAAATGAATAGATTGAATCTTGGACACCCATAGGTTAGGAAAGGTTCAGTAAGTCGGAGGAAGTAAGGAGGTTGACCCATTTAATTTATCTAAAAAAGTTTTAAGGATGGATCAGGACTTCCCTCTCCATTCCACTGAGAATTATTAGCATTCTTGGTTTTTATGTAATTTTAGGAACAACAAGTTGGTGTTTTTGAAATTTGGTATTAGAGCAGCACTGAGAAGAGTTGGAATGGACATAAAATGGAGAAATGAAGCGTATGTTCTGTTCATCTTGCCTTCTTCATCCCTTTAGTACCTCCCTTTCTCACACCCCACCCCACCGTACATGCACAACTGGGAACGCCTGACTCTAATGAGGAATCACCACTCCCAATAAATCAGATCTTTTCAGATGAACTAAAAACATACCCAGGCTCTCGCTGCTGGAGGGCACGACATGGAAATATTCTCTCTCATTCAGCCATTCAATATGCATTTAATCTGTGCTGGGTTTTGGAAAGATTTGAAGATGAATAAAACACACTTCCTTTCCTTTGTCAGTTCGCAATCCAGTGGCGTGAAAGAAGTGTCAATAAACCCTTAGACAGAGGCATTTGGACTTTTGGTCATCTTTCCTAAGAATATATCTCCAGCTACTAGTCACTGTCACTTTCCAGTTCCAGGATAACCCTTTTCCCTTTCAGTTCACTGTTGTTGGGATGCCGTTTTCCCCCTCAGCTGAGGTGAACTAGGTTGGTAATGATCGACAAAAAAAGCAAGAATCACGTTAGTCGTATAACTCCACTCCTAAAAGTCCAAGCACTGCTTACCTGCTTCTCCACTCCCCAGACCACAACACTGCTTAGTATTTAGAAGTCTGAGCATCTCAGAAGAGGCTGTATTGGGTACGAGCAATCTTAGCTGCAATCTGGGATTAGTGGTGGAAGGTCATTCAGTGGCCAGATGACTCTTTGGTTCTATGTATACTTAATAAACTGAAAACAGAGAAACCCAGTCCTAGCAAAGGATCTTACCTGACAAGATTCACAGCATTCTCCTTCTGCACAACTAAATCCTGGCTTCAACATACATTTGTGTGCCTCACAGCAAGGATTAGTGCACTCCTGGCAATAATCAAAAATGAAAAATTAGAAGCAGTTTGTAGTTTGGCTCCTGTTTGAAGAGTTAATTTGTGGTGCTTCTATGCAATTTAGCCATAATTGTTTTTCAGAGTTAAATCCAAATGCATGGTCCTTGGCTATGATATGTATACAAAGACTACTGCTTGCAACTGGTGTTTGGGACTTTTACTTTGTTTCCTTCCCTTGTGCTGTTCAGTACTCCACAGCTAATGATTCTCACTGGTAGCATACAAAGCCCAAAGTTTGTGACCTTCCATTCTCCTGATGACTTCTGTTCTCTGGAAGAGTCCTGCTGCTTCTCATGCTAAATGTTGGGTGTGAGATAATACAACTTCTGATTTTGTATTTTCCTCAAGATGCTAAATATTTCGGGCTGAACTTTTAACAAAATGCATCGTTAGATAATAATAACAGGATGGACACTTAGACCCTATCTGCTGAAACAAAGTTAAGACTTCAAAATATTGTCTGCATCCTGTCATGTAAGGTACTTCAAGTGTTGGAATGAAACTGTAGAACCATTCCAAAAAATGCGCATAGGCAAAAGCATCACTTTCCAAAGTTAGGATTCTCTTTCCATTTAATCTGAGACATTTGAAAAATAGAAGCTGTAACCTCTGGACCTTTGCTGCCTCCGCTCTGATCTTGGAGTCTCTTCGTGGCCAGAGTGAATTTTGAATTGTGCAGTGTCTAGAGCATAGCTACTTAAAATGTGGTCCTTGGACCGGCAGCCTTAGACAACCTTGCAGGTTGGTAGGAATAGGATCTCAGTTCCACTCCAGACCTACTGAATCAGAATCCACATTTTAACAACATGCCCAGGTGATTTATGAGCACTTGTTAATGTGAGAAGTCATTATCTAGGGCACATACCTATATGATGACCTCTTGAAAGAAAAAGCTCCTATGTTAGAGAAAAGCAGAATAAGAATTAATTTAAAATATGCTTCCAAGGCTTATTCTAAATGTACCAGAGACTGCAATGAATATGTGTAAGTTTAGAAGGTTTCTGCTCAATTAACTTATCTAATAATGTGAACTGGTCAACAGGGACATAGACTAGCCTCATAAGACCCTGAGTAAAACTCGATTGACTGACTGTGAGGGATTTTGTAGAACAGATTCCTACTGTGCATGAGAGATCAGACTTAACGACACCTATGAGCCCTTCTCACAAGAAGAGCCAATTAATGTATAAACCAGGCTAATGTGGTGCTTTGAATCTACAGCAAGATCATTACATGACTTGGTAAGAAGCCTTGCATTGAGGCTGCACCAACAACTTGTTTCCATTTTTTTTTTTTTTAAAGCACAGTTTTTAAAGCTTTACAAGAATTACCATGGTTGATTAATGGCTACATCCCTGTCTAGATTCTAGCTGAGGTTACACTTTGTAAATGTCAAGGCAACATCATTTGCAAATACCTGAACAGGGCCACAATCACACTCTTCTGCATCATCCAACCTCTTGTTTCTACAATATGGATAATCACTTAGCTTATCAGAAAATGGAATATTGAACATGCACGTTGGCTTGTAATCCCTGAGATATTGCTGGTACTGGGTTTTGCTGCATTTACTGAATTTTAGTGCAGGAATGCTAGAGAGAGGACGAGTTAAAAATAAAGATTAATCATATCAATGTATAGTGGTAGAACAGCTATGAAAGTTCTATGAAGAATTTAGAACAAAAAAAAACATATGTAAATGATAGACTCAAGGTCCATTTACCTTTTTTACTCTTGTCTCACTGTTAGAGCAGAGTAGTAGCTGGGCTCTTTATAATAGAAAATGTCTTATTGAAACACAGCCAACACATACTATTTTAGTGAAAATACTCAGACTATATATCCTCCAGAATATCCTTCCTGAAGCCCATGGTTTAGACCAATTCTGCCTGCTGCTCCCATATCACTTTTTATTTGCCCCACTTGAAATAATCTATATATTTGCCTACCATCCATGCAAGAATACAAGCTTCTCAATACAGGGACTGACTCGTGTTCAAAGTTTTAAAAAATAAGCACTAGTTAACACAGTGCCTGGCACAAAGTAGTTCTCTATAAACATTTTCTGAAACAAGCTATTAATATTTAGTACGCTCTTACACATCTTAGGAATGTGATATATTACTCTTTAAGCTGAAACTTGCCTCCCTTCCGTCTTCCTTTTGTTTTGACTCCTTTGTTATTATTATTGACACAATGATTGGATACAGATGGACTTTTAAAGTCTTGGATACGTTTGAGTGGGATGTTATGGTCCCCCCAAAATATTACTAATTATGTAGATAATGATGTAAAATTAGATATCATTTACTGAGTTCTTACCCAGGAGATATTAGGAAAATGCCATTCCATAATAACAATATATCCCTACAATATTGAGTTTTACTCAAAGCCACTCCCCCAATATTGAAATATATTCTCTATGTTGTTTAAGCCTCACCTTCCATCACTACCCATCACGCATTTTCCCAAAGTACAGGTACATGGGTAATCATCATGCCGCATCCCAAGGTTATGCCCCAACTGATGTGCCATTCTGCTTGCAGTTGCATTTAGGTCAGGTAAAAGATCCTGATGCCAAAAAAGATGCGCATTAGAAATTTCTATAAGATAGTACACTACAGTACATAAAACTTTGAGCTAGTGGTTGAGAGCTGGTTTCTAGCTTCTGGTTAACTAGTATTTTATCTAAGAGGTCGTGGACTTAGTTATCTTCCGTTCTTGCACCTTAGTTTCTTCAGTTATATAATGAGGTTGGACAAGTAACCTTTTGCAGTATGCGGGCCTCTCACTGTTGTGGCCTCTCCCGTCACGGAGCACAGGCTCCGGACGCGCAGGCTCAGCGGCCATGGCTCACGGGCCCAGCCGCTCCGCGGCATGAGGGATCCTCCCAGCCCGGGGCACGAACCCGTGTCCCCTGCATCGGCAGGCGGACTCTCAACCACCGCGCCACCAGGGAAGCCCCAAGTGACCTTTTGGATGTCTCTAACACTAACACTTCGAAAATTTTTTTTTTTTTTGGTGCAGTCATTGTTGGTTTTATATAGACTCATTTTTACAAATAGCTCAAATTTATTAATTAAAATCCTACACAATAAAATAAACATTATTGATTGTCTTCTATTATTAGATATTCAAAGGGAGTAAAAATAAAAATATGTGAGTTTTGGGTTTCCAATTTATAGTCTCACATTAGGCGATAATGTTATACAATCATGAAGAGGCAGTTACTACTGTGAAAAAAGTCAGAAGATCAGTAATGTAAAATCCAACACAGAGTTGATAGTTATCTCTGTTCTTAGTTCTATTTCATGTTTTAATCTCTATATTAATGAAAAAAATTAAATTTCCAAAGAGGGGTGGGATATCAGGTTACTGTAAAAGTAAAACACCCCTAATTTGGTGATTTCATCTTACTCATATGACATTTAAAATGTGTCCTGGATGGGTTATAATGTCATAATTGGAGTGGACAGCCTACATTAGATTAATTTGACTCTATTATGCAAAATTTTGTTTCTAAAATACCATGGGCAAAGGAGTAATCATAAAAAGAACCATAGGAATAATAAATCAGGTAGTCATTTTAATAAGAACTGGCTTTTAAGTTCAAGGTCTTACAAGACTTGCTTAAGCATAACAACAATTAGGCAGAGACACTATAGGAAATCAACCCAAACCTTGATATCTTAAAGAATGTCTTAGATAGTGTTATTTGGGCAGCATTTACTAGAAGTGTAGTGACTTGGGAAGGGATCAGGTAAACAAGGGGAGTCAGCAGTATGTAGGTTTTAAGCTTTCTGAAAGTGAATGGTAAAGCCATCTAGGTATGATATTTTCCACATAAGAACAATTATCCTTACTTGCTAAACCAGCCATCAAGTTTTATGTACATCACATGTCCTTATAAATAACTATATTTAATATGCAAAAGAGCTTTCCTAATCTTTGTAGGTTAATTCGTGTATGATATTCATATAAACTCTGGAAAACACTGGTTTATCTTCATTATTTATCTATAGTTTTTAATAAAACATTTCCCATTTAATAATGGAAACATGACAGTTTCATCATGACATTTTGGTGGGAATGTATGACTGGATGCATACATGGTCCCTTTCAATAGGACACAGAAGATTACAGAAATCTAAGGTAAGCATTTTGATTAAGTAATATAAGTAAAACACAGCCCACCTTAACGACATTGGAGGAATAATAGGGCAGGCATATACCCCCTGGATAGGAAGTTCCTTGTGCATGTGTGTAGAGCCACTTTCCACTATGAACGAGATATAAATAAACTCGTAGTTCAGTTAACACAAACACTGAAGTGCAGTGAATCCCCCCAATGCTAGTGCCTTGGCACTGGAGTTCTGGAATTGAGGATGACCTTGGTTGATATGAAGCTCATTTTAAACCTGTGGTATTTTAGAGGCATTGAGAAAGTCTATGTAGTCTTGAGTTGGAATCATAAAAGAGTACTTCCCCCCAAAAATAATAATAAGGACAGAGTCCATTTGACTTGACTTCAGTTTGCCTTACACTCAACTTTGGATAAAACCACTTAAAAGACCAAAAAAGTTTAAAGTGTTCAGAGGGTAAAATGCAACATAGTGAATGGACTCAACACCATGATTAATTTGCCATGGTTGAAAATTAAAACAAAAAATTAATCAACCATAGAAACTCATAGAGAATTTGATAAGTATAATCAAACATTTAAAACACTTGTCATGTGAAAACAGGTCTATTCCTGGATTATCTAAAAAGACAGATGTAGATGTGTATATTAAAGGGAGCCAAATTTGACATGCTTTCAAGAAGAACATTTAGAGTTGGACCACTTTAAAAAGAACTATCATAGGCTGAAGGGCCATACGTAGAGTATAACAGAGACGATTCAAATACAAGAAAGCTAGTCAGGCTAGATGACCCCTTTCAGTGTTTAACTTTTCTGATCAAGAAGATATGCTATATTTCTTTCTTCACTACTGATATGTTTCTGTCCCTACATTTTAAAGTCTTAGTATTTGACTATGCATATTGGAAGAACTTAGAATTCTGGTCTTCCCAGACTCTGGAGATCTTGGGAGAATACCAGCTTTGGAGAGGAAGCACAATCTGGATTCTGACTTTGCTCATGGTCACTGAAAGCCAAAAGTCACACCGTGATAATATCATATATGGTATCCAATCACTTCTAGATCTATGTGAATATAGAGGGAAGACATATAAGAAACCAACATAACAAGTTCTAAATATGGTGCCCAGTTAGTCATTTAGTAGCACTCCCCCATATCTCTATTTGTAGACATACTATTGGTGTGTGAAGCTACTGCTCAGAGTAAGAGATACACATGGAAGTAAAAGATTGTCTCCTTATACCAAGTTAATTTTCCTAGGCTAATTTATTAAGTATTTTAAGACATACATACAAGGAATAGGCAAAAGAGCTAATCTTGCCTGCTGTGAAGGTCATGATAATATTTTACTGTATCTCCATAATTTTGGGGCACAGTAGTACATGAATATCTGAACGCAACCACTATTCTCCTGGAGATATGTGTTATGGACCATCCTGGATATGAAAATCAGAAATGATATTTGGAGGTCTGGTTCACTCATCAATTTGCCAAAGGGCTGAACCTGACCTCTGACTATGGGCATTGGAAGCTTCACAGTTCTGAGTTCAGACTGAAAGTTAACATTTAGATAACGATAGAAAGCATATTTGCAGGCTATGTTTGTAGACTTTAGGAGAAATACTGGTAATATAGGTAGATGAAATAGTTAAAGTGGATACCACTCTTATATAGTAGCTTTAAGGACATCAAAAGAGATGCCAAAGGACTCCACTGCTTCAAATTTGTTCTTCCCTAATTTAATGTTCCTTATGATGACAGGACTATGTGAAGCACAAAGTTGATGTCAGATCAGTTCCACCATAATTTATCATTTTCCTATAGGCTGAATAGTATACTATGTATTTTGAATGAAAAAGTGGTAAAAATAACCCCCCTTTTAAGGAATTAATGACCTAGTATTACAGAAAAATCCAACCCTTTACTTAGGAACATTAAAGCTGTGACAGGTTTAACTTATCAGATTAATAATCTGTTATCTTACGTATAGATGCTCTTGAAGAGCTGGTCTGGATGCACACACTCTGTTGAGGGAAAATGTCCAGAAAATGAAGTGCTTTCTCAGAAAGGTGGGTTTCAGTGCAGTGTTGAAATGGCATGGCATGGAAGGCTGAAGAGAGTTAAAATTGGATGCTGATAAGTAAAGTAAATGGATTCTAAGGGTGCTTTGCTTACCTAATGACATTTTCAACTGTGCCCAGCAACATGAATATTTCAAGGTTTTCATTTCTGTTATTAATCATTATTGGGAAGAAAGGTTGTTTACAAGTTCACCTGGAAACTTTCTGTATAGCTACACATAACGTTTTTGTCCCTGGGACTTTTATCCAAAAATCAGCTGCTTTAGAAAGTATTTTGGTTTATTTGTTTTGTTTTCTTTTTTAATAATCCACCTAAGATATGCAGGAAAATAGAGCAGTGACATACCTGAGTAACATAACATGATCAAAATTCTTCCTTTTTTTAAGGATTATTTCTTGCCAAGCCGAAAAACGTAATAAGGTAGTTTCTATTTTAGAATCTATACCTATTTTGTCTCCATTTGTCCATATTTCAAGGCCAGCTAATGTCACTTGAATGTCCAAGGTTTTATAAATCTGTTCAAAGGAGAAATAATTTTTCACAGTGTCAAGTTGCAGAAGGATCCTTTATCATGACTATATTCCTTTACATTAAAAAAGTAATTTTAATGTGTGAAGTACATAAGCAAAAGTTTAGACCTCATTTTACTAACAGCTGTATTGAAACAGTATGTAGAGTTGAGTCGTCCAGAATACTGGGTGAATTGCCATGACCAACAAAGAAACTTGACCAAAAACACCTGATTCTCCTTGAACTGTTATAATCCTTACATACACTGGGCTCAGGATATGTCTAAAATAAATAATTTACTAAAGCTCTGAGATTATACATGACCTGAAAATATGAATTTATGAACAGTGGCACATAATGGAATGAATGTTCTTTATTCATCTCTCTACTTAGGTCATGAGTTTGTTCTGTAGCAGATTAGAAAGTTGGTATTGTTATCAAAAACCCATAGCTTAGCTTTCATGTTTGTTCCCCATGTTTGATTTTTGGAACTCCTTTGTTGTGTAAGAAATCTTATTGGGGATTGCTCAAAGCCTCAAAACAGACAGAAATAGTTGTAGCCCAAGGATTCTCACCCCTATTCCCATCTGCTTTTGTAAACACCTAGTTGATAGGTACTCTGATGCCAGGACAGAAGAGTTTAAGAGTTTAAGTCATTTCATAACCATGAGAACTATGGTTCTCATAAACTCTTATAAAGTTAGACCTTTAGTTAAATCATGATCTCAAACCTAACTAGATGTCCATTCCTTTTGTCTCTGATAGTATTGTGGAATAAACCTTATGAATTATGTCCCACCAAGCAAGATAATGTTTTTAACCTTTGGATTCTCTGCATTCATGGGTGGGCTTTAGGTCCATAAAACTGGATTCAAGTGCAAATGGGAACAATATTTGTTACTCTATGGATGTGTTCTCTTCTAGTGAAAAAATATCCTATAAAATAAAGCCATATTTTATCTACAGAATGCTTGGGTGGGTTTTGATATACATATTTGGAAGGTTGTTGAGAGAGTTGGTTCACTCTTCTTAACGGAGAAAGAACTTTGGAATTTCTGAGACAAAAGAGGTGAAGACATGAAAGTAAAGTGAGAAAGGATGCAGTGAAATAATGAGTGTGGAGGATAAAGGGCCAGTAAGAAGAGATATGACGGGAAGAGTCAAGGACTTTTAGACTATGCTACTTTAAATTGTTTGTGGTATGAGCCCCCAGTCTGAACTGAAAATCTTTAGTAAAAGTTCAGCAATGTGCAACAATCTTGGAGATGGGACCCCAAGGAGAGAGATAGAGTCTTATATTTGGGTCAGTGTTAGAGGAGTAATAAAGACAATTGCAAGATATAAGAAACAGGAGAAGCAGCACTTGAGATCACCCCCAGAGCAAAGCCAGTACTGGGTGTGGGAGCTCCCCACTATGCCCAGGAAAGGGATTAATTTATATCCAAGGCTAATGGTAGCTCTCAGCCCTTCCAATCCTGTTTGGGAAATTGAGCAATTCCTCCACCTCCTGCCCATGCTAGGGGGCTGAGACAGCCCCGCACACTGTGGAGAGTGTTTTCCAGCCCCATATGACCCAAAGGGCTGGTGAGAACACCTGAAAGATGTGCATCCCAGTGGTGCTCAAGCTGAGAGAAGGGCAGACAGAGCCAGTAGTCTGCAAGCAAAGCCAGTAATCCTATTCAGCTGGGTAACTTGGGGTCAGCTTGAGTTAAGGCAACAAACAGAGAGCTTTACCAGTTTCAGGGCTGCTTCTCCTTCTGTGCCCAAGCAGGGAATTTAATTTGCAGCCCCACTCATTGCTGAATATAGACTTCAGCCTGTCTGACCAGGGACCCTCACTGTGAGACGCTACATAGCCCATTCAACTGCAGAATTTGAACAGAGTTCAGCCCATGGCTTCCCCCATCTGCGGAGCAAAACTGGTGGCCTCATCTAACCTGGGAATTCAGTGCACTCAGGTCTGATTCAGGCCCCAAACATCCTAGTAAAAAACTAGAAAAAGATCAAATGTCCTTCAACTGGTGAATGCAAAAACCACTGATCTAAAGGAGCGATTTCTTACAATGTCTTTCTTTGGGGCCTCTTTATCCTGGTAATGGAGCTGTTCGGAAGGAGTCAGCTTTAAAAAGATGTGTATAATTCACAGTCTTGCTTCTTTGACAGGATACTAGTTCATTTCATGTTAGACGAATTAATCATTTTAGTGAATTTTACAGAAATATTTCCCCTGATTTCTCTGTCTAAACATGGGCAATAAATTATAGCTTGAAAGACTTTTTGCTATGCAAAGGTCATGGAAGAGTGATTTAAAATAGTGGGTTTGATTTACTCATGATGGGTATTCAAATCTTTGTACATTGCTTTATAAATTTTGTGATAGTGACCAATATTTGAAAGTTATGTAAATATTAAGTGTCATTTACTTAGAAAACCAAAAACTTAGAGCTATGATGCATTTGTTGCTGTGATTTTTTTTTTCAGTGGAATTTTGCTAGACCACTTGGTGAACTGTTATGTTTTGGGCTGTCTTAATATCAGTATTACTACAAAAATCCAGCAGAGATCTATTCTAAAAGTTTCTTTCCATTTGTGATTTTGGCTTGATTCAGACTGTATCAAATCTTACCATGTTGACAAAATTGACCATTCCCCAAACTTGATTCCTTAGTTTGTTAGGGTGATTATTCCTGCGATACTGGAAATATAGACATCAAATCAATACTCATTAATCATAGGAGTTGAATAAAAATTCAACATCATGAGATATTTCAAAGAAAAAAATTCATTGGCTTTCCTTCCAGAAAGCTAAAACATCTGGGCAACTTATGCAGAAATACATGTTTTATATAAAATAACTAGATATAGCAGTTTCAGAAGTCATGTTTCACCTTGGCACTACTTTAAGGTTTTCTTTATAACTCTGTTCCCTCTTCACATTAAATATATTACATTACGTTGATTTATTAAACCAACTGATAAGTGTTCTTTAGAGTCCATATTCATAACAAAACTTATTAAAGCTCCACAGCAATCATTATATTGCAAAAAACAACTTTGTCAGCACTCCTGTATCCATGGTGGCTACAAACTAAGGAGCATATAATCAAGGATCATCCTGGAGCCAGGGATATGATGGAGAGGGACAAGAAATTGTGGTTTCCCCCTCCTTCCTCTCCAGGAAAAGGCTAAGAAGACAAAGCAGTTTCCTCCTCCAGCTTATTTTGTATGTCGTTCTGTTCTTACAAATGGATTCCCTATTTGTACTTGTTCTCAACATTATCAATTTAGATCTAATAAAATACACTTAATAGTAACATAAGGTATCCCCTAGAGATAAATGCAAATGGTCAAGCTTCTTTTATAATAATAATTAAAAAAATGCCTTTTCTGAATGCTGCAATTATCCTATAGTTAACATTCCATTGCTCGCCTGTTATCTTAAATATCTGAATACCCCAAAGATATTACATTAGAATCCCTTTAACTTTCATTTCCTACCCACCCCTCAACTTACTACTCATTGATTTAAATGCCACTATTCTACTGAAACTATTCCTGATAGGCCCATAAATGTCCTCTTAATTACCAAATCCATTGCATTACTAGAATAAACTTTCATTGTTATGCACACTTTTTCTTTTGATATGTGCTGGATTGGGTTTGCAAATATTTTTAGGGTATTTGCAGTCGTATTTGTAAGTGAAATTGACTTATAATTTTACTTTCTTCTCTGGATTTGTTATCAGTATCATCATAGGTTGTTATGGTAATGACTCTTAAGGAATCACTCTTCCGGATATCTGCACCGATGTGTGGTTCCCTCAACCATTGATTCTAGACTTGGCCATATGACTTTAGTTAATAAGACATTAATAAGTGTCCTATAAGCAGAAGCTTGAAAAGCTCTTGTACATTGAAGCCTGGTCTCTCATGATGTTTTGATGCCCAGCTATAGTACCAGAAGAACGGGCTTGCCTACTGGGGACACATGGGCCAAACCCAACACTATGTACCAGACAAGTGGCTAAGGCCAGGTTACACCATCCATCCAGCCCAGTGGAGCCACCAGATTACTGCAACTGTATAAATGACCCACACTAAGTTTTGGGTAGTTTGTTACACAGCAGTAGATAACTAATGTGAACGTTATAATAACTATGAAATGTGTGAAGAGTGTTTCCTATTCTTGAAAACAGTGTATAAAAGATGGGGTTTTCTGTTACAATAAATTTTGGTAAAATTTGTCTTTAAACTCATGTGAGCCTAGTTATTTGTCAGTAGATTGTGGACTACTTATTTAACTTTAAAACTTTGTTATATTCTTTTCGGAGTTTCCTATTTTTTCAAAAGTCAGCTTCTTAACATTGTACTACGTTCTTCTGCTCATAAATTTATTGGCACAAGGTTGTACATATATTTTTAATGATATATATATAACCTTTCCTATATTTATAGTTAGGTTTTTCTTTCATTCCTAATTTTATTTGTACTTCTATTTTTGTCTTAATAAGTATTGTCAGAAGTTCCTCTATTTTATTTATCTTTCCAAGGGACTAGCATTTGACTTTGTTTCTTTTTGTCTTGTGCTTTTTATCAATTTTACTCATTATTAAAATTATTTTTCCTTCTCTTTTTTGATTTTATTCTGTGTTTATGTTCTGACTTTTCCAGTTAGACTCTTAATTCATTAAATTCCTTTCTTTTTTAATATAAATGTTTGTCTACAAATGTCCTTCTAATTACTGTTATGCCACCTGCATCTAGAAAAATTTATCTCAACTAATGTTCTCTTTTTGCTATTATAAATATTTCATACTTTCAGATTTGACTTGTTTAGTCAATTAATATTTAGCAATGTATTTTTCTTTTAGTTTCCAAATCGATTTTTGTTTTGTAGTCTAGTTTAACAATTTTTTTGTTATACCTTCCAATTTGGTTGTGGTTAAAAAAAAAAAGCGGTGATCTTCTCCATATATATCTTTCCTATCTGTTTTACTTCCTTTGTGGCAAAATGTCAGTTTAATTCTTGAAAATGTTTTGTTTGAACTTGAAATGAATACATGTTGTCTTTTTTTCTGGTTGCAGTATACATCCATCACTTGATTAGATCAAACCTATATTTATGTGCTTCAAACCTTTGGTATTTTTGTTGAATTTTTTCCCTGCTTAGACAAAAATTTTCTAATAGAGATGTAAATAACAACCCTTCTTACCCTGTAACCATGTTTTTTTGTTGTTGTTGTATATCTTTTTATACTCTGCTGTAAGGTGTATAATCTGAAATATCGTTGGATGATTTGCAGTTCTTGGAGCGCTCATTCTTCTTTTCATTATGTTGGTTGACTCTTCCTCGTGTGATTAGCTTTACCTTGGATTATGATTATAGGGCATTTTTGACTTGGAGTCTAGCAGTTTACCGAATTTCTAATCAGTTTTTTTGTTGAAAGCTTGGAGTGGCATTTCTGTATCTAAAGAAAAGTATGTCATGACCCACATCAGTGCAGGACACAGGCTTAGGATTTTGTTTTCCCACGCATAATATTTTCCCTGCCCATTGCTACAGGCAGACAAACAACATGTTTCCTTTCTCTTTGCAGTTTCACTAGAGAGCTTTTCCAGTTCCCTTTCAGAGATGGGACAGCCCTTTTTGGCTCTGAGCCTTATGCAACATATTCTATATACTGTGTGTTGTGTCACCATGCCTTTGAATTTTAGTTACTGTTTTGATGGAGATTCTCTGCCTCATTTTTAGTACTTGGAGATTTTCTGTGTTTTTTTAGCTCAACTATCGATTGTGGACATATTTTCAGTTTTTTGAAGTTGTTCATCATTTCCATATGTTCATAATGTGGAGGGAGGTTCTATTTTGGCTTAGTCTGCTATACTGCCAAAGGACATTATCATCTCTTATATATGTCTGTTTGGGGAAGCTAAAAACAGAACATTGAACCTGGAATGGAATTCTGATTAAAATACTACTTTCTCTTTGTTAAAAGTCACAACTATTGTTTTATAAGAATGAATGGGGAGCAAATGTTTATCTGAAAACTTACCATGTTATCATCAGCAGCAATGAACAGTTCAATAGACTTTTCTTTTTCCATACTCTGGAAATTTATGGAAAATTGAATGAAGTACACTTAATATCTCTTATCTTAACATTTTAAGCTAAAATTTTCAAGGTAAGAAATGTTAGTATTATTGGAAGTTGACATGCAGGAGTATATCTAATAATTCTAGAAATGTAGGTAAATAAAATCCACTATATTATTAAAACATGTGTTTCTATGCATCAGATTCTAGTAAACCTGAAACAACATTCCATATTTTATTATCCTTTTTGTTTGTTTGTTTAGTCTTTCAGGTAAAATAAGGATTGTCAACAAAGAATCATGAATCCAGTTTTTAACACTTAGGGTTTTTTTTAACTTACAAAGTAAATGCTTACTAAGTAAGCTCATGTAAAAGGACCATTTACAGTTGAGAGCAAGACATATAACTGGCCAACAGGAGTGACTGTATTCCTTCTACTCCTCTTCTATCTCCCAATCTCCCTTTATGGGAGTGTCAATTCCAAGGAAACATATAAATGTTGTTAATTATAGATCTTTTATTTTATAAAACACAATACCAAGAAATTCTAAGTTTTCAGCTTTCAGTGTCATGCATTGAGTTACATGCATATGCTCCTGAATATAAACCAGAGGCATATTGTTCAAATATTTGACTGTCATTCTTTTCTGAACTAAGTAATCATTTATTTATTGATTTATTCAATCAAAAAAACCCATCTATTAGGCATCTAGTAAGTTTCAGACACAGTCTACACCATGGATATGTGAAGAAAATAAACACTCACAGATCTTAAAGGCTAACACGTAGAGGGGATTTAAGTTGATATGAACAAGTATAGAAAAGCCTAAAATATGGAGGACTATCATTGTGCCTTCATTCTACTAGAAATTCCACCTTAACAATTAGAATATTTGGCGTGATGAAAGGGGGATAACCTGGCTTATCATCAACAACTCCTCCCCAAAAAGTGGCAGGAAAGACAAGGAAAGAAAAGACAATATCTAAGAGAGATTTCAAGATGTAAATTTCATTCTTTCCAACCACTTATAGCCCTAATACTATAAATCTATATGTAGGATTGTAGATATCCCCCTTCTTAGAAACTGATGAAACAAACTGGGGTTTGCTGTAGGGAATGAACACTTTCTGTATAGATAACAAAAACAAAAGTTTGACATTTCAGATTTCAAACAATGAAGATTCGGATTCAGGCAGCCTATACACTTCATTAACTGGGCTCATAATCTCTCTCTTGAGATCAGTAAAAAAACAGTGATCCTAAAATAGATGAAGAGGCTATTGATATAAGTACATGTATTGATATTATATAAATATTAATATCTACATATTTTATGTTCATAATACATCATTATTTCATTTTCACAAACTACACTTATGTTCATTTATGCATTCATTCATGCATTCATTCATTGCATTCTTTCATTGGGAAATTTCGAAGCTACTTTAGAAGCCTTTTATTTTAATTGCATGATTACTTTGTGTGAAGCAGTGTATGAATTCTTCTCTCACAAATTTAAGAGTCTGTTAGTTAATGCTAACCTCTGAAGTGTGACCCTTTTCTTTTGAAATGTTACTCTTTTAATCCACCTTAAAATCCTATCAAACTACCCCTCCTGTGCTATTATTATAAATTTTCCCCAGTTGCCTATGAAATGAAGTCAAGATTTTTGATGATCGCAGAAATTAGGTCTCACTCTCCAACCAGGTCCCCTCGTGCCTTTGTCTCCTGCCTCTCTGCTTCAATCAAGTTGGTATCTTTATTACTCCCCACTGGGTGTTCCATCCATGGTGATTCCGCCAAATAATTTCTCTTTCCATCAGTTCCTTATGTTCAACTCCTGCCTATGTGTGACACTTTCCATGGTCCTGGACCTCAGACTCTCATAGACGAACAACCACTCACTGTATAAAAGAATGTTACCCAGTTTTCTTACTGTTCTATTTTACAAAGATTGCATTATGACTGAGATTTCATAGTTGACAGCTGCCTTAAACAGAGGCAATATGGTTTAAAAGTATACATTTAATAGAAGAGAATAAAGTCATCCTTGGCTAGAAGGCTGCAGTGGGCATATTCTGTAAAGGGGAATAAATATAAAAATAGAACTCATATCCACTGGAATAATATTCATGATTAATGAACAAAGATTCATTTGGAGAATGAAGGACAGGACTCAGTGTTGGTGCATCAGAAGGACAGGGCAAGAGGATTTGACTCCCATAAGGGTCAGTTAGATGGAGGTTTTAATCTTGTTTCATGTCTTGAAGTTTTATCCTTTAGCTTAATTACTATTCCATCATGGTACCTTATACTTCTCTGGTGTCCTGCTTTACCCTTCCTCCAGACTTAACCCTATTTGGGGTACATAGAAGTCAGTGTGGTAAAGGAAAATACATTAGCAGTCATTGATTTGCTTGTTAGATAGTGATCAATCTCCTTTAGAGGTCAGAGTGTCATAGTTTCTGTTTTAGAATCATTCAGTGATGGTAGTCAATGCAGGAGTAATTTCTGATGTAACACTTTCTGAAGCTGCTTGTAAAGCTAGGATGGGGTTTAAAAATCATACGAGGGAACAATAGTTTCAGAGAAGAGACCTAGGAAGGTCCCATAAGATACCGTGATCTGAGGATGCTTGGTGATCTGCTCTCCTTTTGCGGAGTAGTATGTCTCACTGTAATCTGAGGCTAGGAACTGCCTGGAAAAGAGGGCAGAGAGGTAGTGAGATTCACTTATTCTAAAAAGTTAGCAGATAAAACCTATTATGTGAGAGTGAAGGCTCTAGGCTGCTTTCACTTCTCAGCAAGATCCTCTTATGCTAAAAGCAAATAAGCAAAATCAATCCCAGTCACATGAAAAGCCTTTCTACCTAGATTTCATGGTTTGGTAAAGATGGTAAAAGATTCTGGCAGTTTTAACAAGGCATCATTTTGAGAAGAACCTAGAGAAAATATTATCTAAGTAAAAATCTTCTTGCCTTAAGCGCCAAAATTAATGCAAAAAATTGTGATGTATATGTATCACATATATAAGTATATATACTATATATATTTTATCTAAATATACAGCTGTTGGGTTAATATGTATTAAGATATATGTATCATATGTACATAGATATGGATTTAATATGATTGCAAAATTTTTACATTTTGCATGAAATTGTACAGTATTAACTGTAAATATTGTAACCTCTAAAACAAAAGCTTTAAACTAAAGCAGAGAGATATTGCTATAAAAACAATCGATAAACAAAAAGCCAGTAGATAAGAGTAAAAAAGAAATCAAATAATTCGAAGATCCAAAGAAGGGCAGGAAGAGAAAACCAGAGGAACAAAATCAGAGGCAAACAGAAATTCAATATTAAATACAACCATATCATTCATGACATTAAATGTTAATGGATTAAACTTTCCAACTAGAAATCAGATTGTCAGAATCCACTAAAAAGGCAGAACCCAACTACTTGCCATCTTACAAGAGACACATTTTAAATGTTAAGGCACAGGTAGGTTGGCATGAAAAATAGTATATTATGGAAACAGTAAATATGTGAATGCGGAGCTAAGCTGTATTGCTATCAGGTAGAATACAGTTCCCCAAAAGACGGGCATTCCATAATGACATAATGATAAAAGAGTAAATTCACCATAAAGAAAAAATAATAGTACATGTGTATAACCTAATAGCTAAGCTTCCAAAACATGAAGAAAATATTTTAAAAATTGAAAAGATAAACAATTCCAAATCATAATTGAATGTTTTGACATTCCTCCCTCAGCAGTTGACAGAACAAATAAACAAGTAATATAAGTAAAAGTAGAAGATCTAAATAATCCTATCAACCACTTTGTCCTAATTATTGTTTATAGAGCACTTCACCCAGTAACTGCAAAATACATATTCTTTTCAAGGTATTTTTAACAAATTAGAACATAGGTTTGGCCATAAAACAAATTGCAATACATGTTTTTAAAAATGATATCATACAAAGCTTGAGAAAGGGTATGTAAAAACTACCAAATATTGGAAATTAAATAACCCACTCTTAAATAATCCATGAACCAAAGAAGAAATCTTAAAAGAAATTAGACAATATTTTGAAAGGAATGATAATAAAAATAAAAGACGTCAAGGTGTTTGAAATGCATCTAAACTAATGCTTGAAGGAAATGTCATGGTTTTAAATATTTTAAATACTATGACAAAAAGATCAAATATTTGCATAAAAAAGTAAACACTAAATAAGTGGAATAAATTAAATAATAAAGATAATAGATGGATTCAGTGAAATAAACAGACAATAGCAATAATAAATTCAAAGGGTGGTTATTTGAAAAGATCAACAAATTGATAAACCTCTTTAGATTTGTCAAGAAAAAAAAGAGGGAGAACTCAGATTACCAATATTAGAAATTATAAAAAGGTTATCATTAAAGGTACCACAGATATTAAAAGAATAATCAGAGAATATTATGAAATACTTTATACCAAAAATTTGACAACATACATGAAATATACATTTTCCTTGTAAATTACGATTTAAAACTGACATAAAATGAAATAGAAAATCTGAATAACCCTCTCAATAAAATTGAATTTGTAATCATAAAATCTCCTCCCCACACATACACACAAAAAAATCCCTCAAGGCACAGGTAGTTTCATTCGTGAATTCTATTCAACAATCTAAAAATAACAGTCTTCAGAAAATATAGGAAGAGAGGACACTTCCCAATTCATTTTTGAGAGCACTTCCCAATTCACCTCTTAATATTAAATATGTGACAGAGACATCACACAAAACTAAAACTGCAGAATAATATCTATCGTTAACATGGTGTCAAAATCCTTAAGAAAATCTTGTGAACTGTATACAGCAAAGAGGGTTTTATCACAGGGTTGCAAGTATGGTTTAACATTCAAATATCAATCAGTGTAAATTACCATATGGACATTTCAATGGATACAGATGAAATGCTTTCAGTAAACTTCTCAGGGAGCTATCTTAAACTCATAAAGTACACAAATACAAGTCTACTGGCAATATAATATTAATCATTCAATATTTATCACTTTTCCCTTAAGATCAGGGATACTGTAAGATTGCCAACTCTTCTATTTCTACTCAGATTGTACTGGAGTTCCTAGCCATTACAATAAAGCATAGAAATAAAAGGAATAATGACTAGACAGAAAGATATACGACTGCCAATATTTGCTGATGAAAATCTCTAAGTAATCTATGAAACAATAGATAAATCCGTAGATTAAGACCTCACAATAGAAAAATGAAATAATAAAAAACAATTCTGCTTACAAGAGCACTGAAAGCATTAAATATGTAGAAATACATCTAAGCAAAGACATATGAGAGCTGTACACTGTAAACTACAAAACATTGTTGATAGAAATTAAAGATCTAAATTAATATAGAGATGTAACACGAAGACTCAATATTGTTGATAGCAATTCTTTCAGATTCATGTATAAATTCAGTAAAATCACAACCAAACTTCTAGCAGGCTCTTTAAAAAATAAAAATTAACAAGTGAGTTCTAGATTTTATAGAGAAATGCTAAGGATCTAGAATTTTTTTTAATTCTGCAAAAGAAGAGCAAAATTATAGAAGTTACCCACATTGGCTTTTAGACTTACTTTAAAGCTGCAGTAATCAAGACAATGTGGTCATAGCTTGGGGATTGAAAAGTAGGTGAACAGGATAAAATAGAGAGCTCAGAAATAGTCATTTGCTTTTGGTCCAAGGTGCAAAAGCTATCCAATCCAAAGAAAGGCAATTCAACAAAAGAGGCTGGCTATGTGTATGCAAAACCAAGAACCTTGACCCACCTTCAAATTACACACACACACACACACACACACACACACACACACACACACACACACAGGCACACACACACAAACACAAATTCAAGATGATAATAGACCAAAACTAAAAGCTAAAACCCTGAAAACATTAGAAAATTTAGTAAATTGAAACTTCTTCAAAATTATAGATTTTACTTTTTAAAAGAATATTAAGAAAATGAATATAAAAAGTAACAGGATGGAGAAAACAGTTAACAAGAAATATATCTGACAAAGGGCTAATCTCCAAATTGTATGAAGATCTTCAACTCAGTAAAGGACAATTAACCCAATTAAAAATAGGTAAATATTTAAACAGACACTTTACAAAAGATATACAAATGGACAATAATCACATAAAAAAGTTTTCAACAGGGAACTGAAAACTTATCCAAAATGAAATATCACCACAAACCCACCAGTATAACTAAAATTAAAAAGGGGCGAGAACACAAAATGACGAAGAGGATTCGGAGCAACTGGAATTCTCATACATTGTTCGCAGTATTTTGGAAAATGATCTGACAGTTTTTTATAAAACTAAACATATACATACCCTGTGATCCAGAAACTTCACTCCTTGGCGTTCACCAAGGAGAAATGAAAACATATATTTATAAAAGGACTATACAAGAATGCTCATTCAAGCTTTACTCATGATAGCCAAACGCTGGAAAAAGCCAAGGTCTCCATCAATAGAATGGATAAAAAAAATGCTCGTGTATATGTGTGTGTGTATACATATATATATATATATATATATATATGTATACACACACACACACACACACACATATATACATACACATCATGGAGTAGTACTCAGAAAGTAAAAGAACCACACTTCTGATACATGAACTACATGAATGAATCTCTGTCTATGGAATGCTAAAATAAAGAAGCCTTACACAAAGGGTACATGCAGTGTAAATCTATTTATAGAAACTTCCAGAATGGACAGAATAATCTATGATGAGTAAAACCTCTGTGAACAGGTTTTGAGAGAAGTTGACTAGGAAGGAGGAGGAGGAAATTTTCTGAGTGACAGTTCTTTTATAATTCACTTGTACAGAAATTTGGGTAACACAGGTATGTGCATTCATCAAAATTCAATGCATGTACACTTGAGGTTGTGCATTTCATTGCATGAAAATTTTACATTGTAAGAAAAACTCAACACATATTAAACTCTAATGATATGCTTGCTGACGTACTTAGGGGGAAGTATACTAATGTCTGCAATATAATTTGGTATGCATAAAAATAAGATGGAGGATGGATGGTTGATAGAGGAATGGATAGACAAAGAAATATGATATAAAATAAATATAGTGAAATGTTAATGAGCATATTTGTATTTGTGTGTCTTAATGGGATTATGGGTATATGTTTATTCATTTATTCAACAGTGGTGCACAAGATACAGGTCACTGCCCTCAAGGAAGCCACAGCTTGGCAAAGAAAATATCAAGTAAATGTAATTGGGTATTATAAGCATCATAATACGAGAAATGCAGTGACTGTGTGAGAGATATTGAAAAGAGGGGTCAGGGGCAAGGAGCAGCACATGCGAAGGCCCTGAGGTAGGAAGAAGCTTGACACATTTGAAGGACAGAGAGAGGTTTAATATTGCCAGAAAATCAAGTGTAAGTTGAATAGAAATGAGAAACGAAAAGTTAGGAAAGAGTCAAATCATGTACAGCCCACTAAGTCACTTAAGAGGATTTGGACTTTAGCCTAAGAGCAAAGAGAAGCAAAAGGTTTAGGCAGAAGAATGCAGAAGTTTGTCTGGTATTTTAGATGGCTTGCTTACTATGGATAATGATCAGCAGAAATCACAACTGTAGGCAGAAAAAGAATTTACAGGTTATT